GTTGATCAAATATTGAGGTATTTTGTTTTTAGTTTCAATTTTTACATTCTTTGTAGCACCAGAGAAATTCTTCAAATTTTATATGGTTGTTTAAAGCATATTGTTTTTCCATGATCCATATTCTACTGCTACCTTTCGATCCATTTTATTTTTTTAAATTTTAGAATTCTTTTTATTGTTCCATTTTATTCTGTTGCAGAAATGTGAGCAGTAGAGCAAATATAGACTTTGATGTACAACAGGAAATTGGTTAGTAACTGTGAAAATGACTCAAGAAATTTTGTAGAAAAAACTAAAAGTATTAATGGCGACGAAAAGTTACCAAAACAATAAACAGCAACTGGTGGCTAAAAATGATAATTATTTTATTAATTCGAACTTATAAATGTCTTTAAAAACCGATAGATTAGAAAGGTAAGACTTCTTTTCACAAACCAACGCTGTTGCTAGAAAACAAAATATCAGGTAACCAAAGAAACAATATGGAATTTGCTCGTTGAATGAGCTGAATAAAGCGAAGCAACTATAGAAGCTACCATCTAATAGAGATCACTCGTTCGGCACTGAAACTAGCTGGTTGCCGGATTCAAACCGGTGTTTGCAAAGTGATATTTACACGACGGAGGGCGACAGATAACAATGTGAATGAAACATTTCAAGTAAGTCTAAGTGCTTTATTCATTGTCGTGAGGACATCATATCAAAGTTCATTTTAGTCAAAATATTGGTGTAGTCTTTTTTTTAATCTTGACAAGGAGACAACATCCAAAAAGTGCTAAAAAATCTGTTAAAAGTTGTAAATACGATTATTCCTACAAACTTCAAAGAGGACCACGGGAAAAGTACATGACGTCACTCCTAAAGCAAAATTTTCGGTTTTCAAATACAATAAAAAATTACTTTTTTAGAATCGAAAAAAATCAATAACAGTCTTGAAAGACAAGTTCATGACCTCCGCATAGCGTAAATTCAATTTCTGGGACATACAAATTGTCCTCTAAATTATATACAAATGACTAGTATCCGAAGGACTGGATAGAAAGCTCGCCGACAATCACTGTAAATTTTACAACTTCATTTAATTTCACTCTCTCCAAACAGTTACTTATCAAAGTAGACACCAGAATTCAGAGCAGAAAAATGTTCAAACAAAGTGTAACGATTCTATGTATTTGAAGAGAGAAAAACAGTTTGCTAAGGCAGTAAAACTATTTTTAGCCTTATTCTCATCAAAACAGCGAATCCAGTATTTATCCATTCTATGATTGTTCAGTCCTGAAGCTACTACCCCCTACCACAGCCAACATCTTCTAACGTCTCCTAAACTGGAAGAATGATTACAAAGATAAAAAAGAAAAAGCAAGTTGACCTAAGAAATACTGATCACTCAAAATTCGCTCTAAAACAGTTAATCTGAGCTGACTTTTTTGTAACTGTTCACGTCATATTTCACTTAATATTTCTAAAATTTACAGTGCAATTCTTTACAACTGAAAAGACACTTAAACATTTTTGTTTTTTACAGAACGATTTACTGAATGGCTTAAAAAAATTTGCATTTTTTGAAGAGCAAAAAAAAGAAAGATTTTGCAATGGGTTGCAGAATGCTTATAGTTGCTGAAAACGTTTCTATAAGTGTAAGTTGCTTTTACATTTTCAATAATTATAAGCAACCAAATCACGAACTGTGTTAAGTTAAAGCTTCACTTTCTTTTTTTCAGCCAAACTTATGTTTGCTAACTGTTTTTTTTCTTCCGCATCATCAGTGTTCTTTAAAAAAAATTGCAGTGTATTTTCAATAAGAAGTCTAGTTGAAAGCATACTATTTGTCAGAAATAACGATAAAAATAACAATAATCCCGGAATAACAACATAAAGCATAATATCAATAAGAAAAGTCATCAATTAAGAAGAACACAATTAAAGTTTCACAATATTCGATTGCTGAAAAATAGTTTGCCTAAACCTCTACAATTAGTTATTTAAGAAAACTATTTGACCAGCTTGTCGAACTGTGTTAAGTTGAAGCTTCACTTTCTTTTTCTCAGCCAAATTTATGATACATATAATAAATTATTATGGTTTTTGAATTAACCAAGTATGATCATTAAATACTGAAACTAATTTTCCACCAACACTTGTTTACAAAACAGCAAATACTTTCACATCTTCGCAAAGTTCAGTAAACAGTGAAGGATATTATACAAAATTATGAACTTATATCGATAAATAACAGTAGTTTATACTTTTTTCTCTTCTTCCTCCGCAACATCTCATTTTGCACCACGACGTTCAGTTCTGAATTGTCTATTCAAATGAACCTTTCTTCTACAACCTTTGTAGTGATCGACAACGTTAAAAACACTTTTGTAGTCCGCAGTGACATTTATGCAACTACAAAAGGTACTCATTAGTAGCAAATTAAGATTCACTTATTAGTCCGATATCAAATAGGTTAAAGTCAACCCACAACCAAAGTAAAGAAGTACTTTTTCTCAGTATCTTCGACATTAAGCACATCTTTGAGGTACATTATTAATCGAGGTTGAAAACTGCTAAAGTTTTTATCGGAATATATACAATACCAGTGCCGATGCTACACAAGAAAGCCAATCGCAATACTGTTTGTTTTTTTTGCATATGAAGGAATTGGAACCATAAGCAACTAATCAAGAGCATAAAATAAAAATTCTGAAGCTGTTGAAAGTCATGAAAGCTGCTCAAACAAATGCCTCTTGAACAGAATGTGTTATTTTGTGCGTCATCAATAGTTCTGTGACGCTGTACCGCACTTTAGCAGCGTTCTGTGTTTACAGCAACCAAAAAAAACCACGTATCAAGCCTGCAAAGATCAACGTTGAACTAAGAATTAAAATCTCCTTTACCTCTCTCTTTCCTTCCTTGCAAAAAAAAAAAAAA